ATGAAGAAAAAAAATGCAAATAGCTTACCTGCTCATCACACTTAGTCCTTATTATTAGGTTAGAGGAGGTGGAAGGGTGGGAAACACTACACATGTAGTGTCTTGGATATTAGTTAACTCTCAAATTTATTGGGTGGAAGCTTAGCTTCCCAGGCTGCCCTTGCGCTTCCTCCCGGGCTTCCGCCGCTGAAACAACTGAAAGAAGCACTGAGAGCAGTAAGGTACAAAATGTATACTGGGTGGGGAATTTCAATGTCCACGACCAAGAGTGGCTCAGCAGCGGCACTACTAATCAAGCTGCTTGGGACCTAAAGGACGTAGCTGCTAGACTGGGTCTGTTAGGTTCTTGAGTAGATTTGTAGCTCGGGTTGTGGATGCTGTGGTTGGTTTTCTCGCTGAGCTGGTTTGTTAGTTTGTAGATGTTTCATTCCCCTGCTGGGTCACAAAAGACATGACCAATACTCACTCATCTCCATTCACACGAATAAGGAGAACCACCAGTTCATTGGGACAACACCAGGATCCTAGGACAGGCCAAGCAGAGACAAGCACGGGAATTCCTAGAGGCCTGGTTCTAAGAAGGCCATCAATAAACACATATAACTAGACCCTCTATATACACCACTGCGAAGGAAAACCGGAAATGAGGTAATCAAATCCAACAAACCCCAGAATTTATATACCAGGCGGGAAGACACAACAGCACTTCATCAGAGGCTGCACTGATGATGTTACCCAGCACGATAATGAAATGTCTGTGGAACAACAAACCAGCTCGGTGAGCCAACCAACCACAGACTGGGTCTGTGGCAGACGGTGAGGGAACCAGCAAGAGGGAAAAACATACTTGACCTCATCCTTACCAATCTGCCAACTGCAGTTGCATTGTCCATGACAGTATGGGTCAGTGACCACTGCACAGAACAGCCTCCATCGTGTTATGTGGCACTATCACCGTGCTAAATGGGACAGACTTCACACAGATCTAGCAACTCCAGGCTGGGCATCCATGAGGTGCTGTGGGCCATCAACAGCAGCAGAATTGTACTCCAGCACAATCTGTAACCTCATGGCCCGGCATATCCCGCAATCAACCATTACCATCAAGCCAGGGGTTCAACCCTGGTTCAATGGAGAGTGCAGGAGGTCATGCCAGGAGCAGTACCAGGCATACCTGAAGATGAGGTATCAACCTGGTGAAGCCACCAAACAGGACTACTTGCACACCAAAGAGCGAAAGCAGCAAGTGATAGACAGAGCTACGTGATTCCACAACCAATGGATCAGATCTAAGCTCTGCAATCCTGCCACATCCAGTGTGAATGGTGGTGGACAATTAAACAACTCACTGGAGGAGGAGGCTCCACAAATATCCCCGTCCTCAATGATGGAAGAGCCCAGCACATCAGTGCTAAAGATAAGGCTGAAGCATTTGCAGCAATCTTCAGCCAGAAGTGTCGAGTGGATAATCCATCTCGGCCTGCTCCAGTGGTCCCCAGCATTACAGATACCAGTCTTCAGCCAATTCAATTCACTCCACATGATATCAAGAAATGGTTGGAGACACTGGACACTGCAAAGGCTACGGGCCCTGACAACATTCCAGCAATAGTACTGAAGACTTGTGCTCCAGAACTTGCCGCTCCCCTGGCCAAGCTGTTCCAGTACAGTTGCAACACTGGTATCTACCTGGTAATGTGGAAAATTGCCCAGGTATGTCCTGTACACAAAAAGCAGGACAAATCCAACCCGGCCAATTACTGCCCCATCAGTCTCCTCTCGATCATCAGTAAAGTGATGGAAGGTGTCAGTAACAGTGCTATCAAGCAGCACCTGCTCAGCAATAACCTGCTCAGTGATGCCCAGTTTGGGTTCCGCCAGGGCCACTCAGCTCCTGACCTCATTACAGCCTTGGTTCAAACATGGACAAAAGAGCTGAATTCCAGAGGTGAGGTGAGAGTGACAGTCCTTGACACCAAGGCTGCATTCGACTGAGTGTGGCATCAAGGACACCTAATAAAAGAATTGTGGGCAAACTCTCCACCAGTTGGAGTCATACCTGGCAAATAGGAAGATGGTCATGGTTGCTGGAGGTCATGTGTAAGTTCACTGCAACAATTTACCAAGACTCCTTACGCAACACCCACAACCATTTCCATCTAGAAGGACAAGGGCAGCAGACACATGAGAACACAATCCCTTGCAAGTTCCCCTCCAAGCCACTCACCATCATGATTTGGAAATATTCCCTCCCTAAGGGTATAATGTGTCAACTCACAGTACATGGACGGCAACAATTCGAGGCAGCTCACCACCACCTTCTCAAAGGCAACTACGGACAGGCAGTAAATGCTGAGCCCAGCCAGTGTCACACGACACCAGGTTATAGTCCAACAGGTTTGTTTGAAAGCACAAGCTTTTGGAGCCTTACTCCTTCTTCAGGTGTCAGTGAGAGAGGTAGTATCAGACACAGAATTTATAAGTAAAAGATCAAAGGGTCACACCACTGATGAGGATATACTAAACAAACCTAAGATGCTGTTAAATCTTTAAGCAGTTAGAAGGTTTTAATTGATTAATATGTATATATAAATCCCTGAATTCCTTTCAAGTCACTGTCCTGTGAGAACTAAAGGTTCTATCAGTGTAAATAAGAGGTGACATTTTCGGTCAGATAATGCATGTTAGGTGTGAGACCTTGTTTAGAATCTTGTCTTAAAATTTTAGAATTTCTGAAGAAAAGTCTCGACCTGAAAAATCAGCCTTTCTGCTCCTCTGATGCTGCTTGGCCTGCTGTGTTCATCCAGCTCTACACCTTGTTATCTCAGATTCTCCAGCATCGGCAGTTCCTACTATCTCTGTACCAGTTTATCCAACCTTTCTTCATAGTTAAAAATACCCCATACTAGGCAACATCTTGATAAACCTTTTCTCTACCCTGTCCAAAACATCCATATTCTACAGGTAGTGTGATGACTAGAACAGTATGTAATATTTCATGTGTGGCCTAACTAAAATTCTAGTTGCAGTTTAGCTGCAAATATAAAGTTTAGTCAGGACAATTTGTAGTTCTCAAGTGCTATTAATGTCATTAAGCCTACCGAGGTACTTCACAGGAGATGTTCTCAATCCACTTGGACAGGCAAGGTTTGATCAGGGATAGTCAGCATTAATTTTTCAGAGGGAGATCATGCCTACCAATTTTGCTTGATTTTTTCCAGGAGATGATCAGGTGTATTGATGAGGGCAGTGCAGTTGATGTAGTTCATACGGATTTCAGCAAAGCCTTTAATAAGGCCCCACATGAGACACTGATAAACAGCATAAAAGCACATGGGATGCAGTGTATCCTGGCAAGCTGGATACAAAATTGGCTTGGTGGTAGGAGACAGAGAGTGATGGTAAAAGGCTGTTTGTGTGACTGGAGGCCAGTTTCCAGTGACATACCACAAGGATCAGTGCTGGGTCTCTTATTATTTGTGATATTCATCAATGATAAAGATGAGAATATGGATGGGATGATAAGTAAGTTTTTGGCTGGGTGATTAACAATGAGGAGGAAGATCTTAGGTTAGAGGAGGATAAAGAAGGAATGATAAAAGGTCAGATAGGGAGATCAGTGACAGATGGAATTTAACCCTGAAAGAGCATGAGATGATGCATTTTGGAAGAAATAACAAGACAAGGGAGTACTCAATGAACTAGGACACTAGGAAGCTCAGAGGGACAGAGGGATCTTGGGATACTTATCCACAGATCCCTGAAGGTGGCAGGATGGGTTAATTGGGTAGTTACAACAGCAAACAGGACACTTGCCTTTATCACTTGAGACATAGTGGTATTATCACTGGACTGTTAATCCAAGACCCAGATAATGTTCTGGGGACCCGGATTTGAATCCCGCCATGGGAGATGGTGGAATTTGAATTCATAAATATCTGGAATTAAGGATCTAATGATGACCATGAATCTGTTGTCGATTGTTGGAAAAACCCATCTGGTTCATTAATGTCTTTTAGGGAAGGAAACTGCCATCCTTACCTGGCTTGGCCTACATGTGACTCCAGACCCTAAACAATATGGTTGACTCTTAACTGTCCTCTGGGCAATAAACGCTGCCTGGCCTGGCCAGTGATGCCCACATCCCGTGAATGAATAAAGAGAAAAAAAAGGGCGGGAGGTTACATTGGGTAGGCTGGAGTACTGTGTGCAATTCTAGTTACCACACTAAAGGAAGGATTGCACTGGAGGGGGTGCAGAGGAGATTCACCACGATGTTGTCTGGGATGCAGTGTTTCAGCGATGAAGAGAGGCTGGATAAGCTCAGGTTGTTTTCTTTAGAGCAGGGGACGCTGAGAGGAAACCTGATAAAAGTGTGTAAGGTTATAAGGGGCATGGAGAAAGTTAAAAGAAAGCAGCTGTTCCCCTCAGTTGAATGATCAGTAACAAGGGAGCACAATTTTAAGATGAAAAACAAGAAGCTTAGAGTGTAGTTGAGAAGAAAACCTCACAACATTTAAAAGTAGTTGGATGATCACTTCAAATGTCATAACATTCAAGGCAATGGGCCTAGTGCTGGAACATGGGATAAGTATAGGTTTAGTGTAGTTTTGACAGTACAGACTTGATGGGCCAAAGGGCCTCTTCTGTGCTTTTGACTCTATGTCTTTAAATCAAGTGCAGATAAAATTGCAGCAGCTTTGTCTCAAGCTCCAGCATGTGTTTGGTTTCTCCAAAGGACTTGTCAGTGGAGACTAATGTAAGTAAGACTTTGTGGCATTTAAGTCATGTTGTTTCCCTAAACTGCAAAACCTAAGATTATGTATCACCTGTTAGGGATTCCCTGTCTTTTCACCTCCTCTCTCTCATCTCCTTCTCTCCTGCTCCCTACCCACTGTCACCCCTCCCAGAACTGTATTGGCCTGGAGTTGATTATAAATGAGGAACTAAGTGAGGTTTGGTGAGTGCCTGCTGATAACTACAGTTTTTGTCTTTGGCAGGATTTGCTCACGGAGCTGCAGTTTCTGGTGTTATAGGAGTGAAGAAGCCACAGTTTGACATCTGGGGTTCAACGGTGAATTTTGCCAGTCGTATGGACAGCACTGGCATCAGTGGCAAGATACAAGTGCCAAAGGAAACCTCCAGAGTTCTTGAGACCCGTGGCTTTTCTCTCCAATACAGGGGCCAAGTTTTTATCAAGGGTGTGTCTGAGACATTTGGTGAAGTTGAGACATATTTCCTGGAAAGGAGAGTCACACAGGCAGCAACACCCAAGTGGATGAGGAGGCAAAGTGCACAGCACTCCTTTTCTGTTATCCTGTCAGGCTTATCCCAGAAAAGTTCGCCAGCATGGTACCCTCTATGAGTGGATAAACTGATGCAAGGACAAATCGAACACATGGTCCAAGTGCTTTGGACTCCTTGGGAATTTCAGCTTCAAGAAAGCTGCCACCAAATTTAAATACTGTCAAACTGTCATGGACAAAATAATGTTATGAATTTATTGAGGAAAGACAATGTAAATGGTTATATATAACTGGACTGGACTGTGATTAGATAGAATGGTGCAAGACCAGGCTGTGAAAGGACAATACAGTCCTTGCGTCAACAATTTTGTCATGGTACAAGTACAATGAATGGGTAAATGCTGAGAATAACATCCTCGAGAAGGTGTGAGGTTCCCACAGCATGTTCTCAATGAGGTGATGCCGGCTCGGTTCAAAGTTGGGCTGCTTGAGTTGGGGATGCGCAGCTTGGCTTCCAGTGATTAAATCCCAGAGCCAGCTGATGGTACCAGCAGTGCCATTTGTAGCAACACTGGCTGAGGACTGAAATGGGCAGAGCAGTGGTGTGGCTTGGTCACTGTGTGTCACTGTCTCACACTCTGAGCACAGAATGTGGATGAAGTGCTGATGGAGCAGGTACCCAATGAACCACACCCAAACACAGACTGGAATCTGCACAACAGCATGTGGAAATGGGAGATTGATGGGAGAAAATAAAAATCTGAGGGAAATAAAGACTATGGGATAATATAAATGTGTTAGCAAACAATAGATGTATCAATTCATACCACAACATTTGTACCATTGTTATAACGCCTTAATATAGTATACAAAGGAATATGTCTTGAATTGGTGAGAATTTTATAGAGATGAGGGTTGGGATGGGTATTGCTACATGGGGAGGAATAGCTGTGTTGATGATGGTTACATAGAGCATTTACATTGGAAAAAAATAGGTAAAGCAGTCTTGGATATTAAATCAGGCTTTAAAGAAATTGGGTAATCTTGTACTGAAATCATTTTATTACAGCATTCCCATTGCCTTATCCAGAATTCGGATACTGTGGGTCTCAGGAAGCTAAGGGTGTGACGATCAACAGTGGAGTGATTCAAATCAGGATGTACAGGAGGGCCAGAGTTGGAGAAGACTGCAAGATCTCAGAATGCTGTACAGTTGGAGGAGGCTTAATGTAGGGGTGCCATCCTAAGGGTAAAAGGGATTGGGTAGAATGAGTGGAGAGGCAAGAGAAGGAAGAGGGAAAGAGTGGGGTACAGAAATCATAGAGGGCAAGGCAAGGGAAGGAGTTACATCAGGAAAGTATCCCTCTGAGAAACTGTCAGCTTGTTTTACCCTGGCCCACAGAGCCACTCAGCTCCAATCCAACATACTGCTTCATCCTGAATTATGCCCTGGGACTCAATCTGCACCAATTGCTGTGAACCATGCTGCAGGTCCCTTGTTGTGAACCATGCTGCAGGTCCCTATCTGTGAATCATGCTGCAGGTCCCTTGTTGTGAACCATGCTGCAGGTCCCTATCTGTGAACCATGCTGCAGGTCCCTAGCTGTGGATCATGTTGCAGGCCCCTAGCTGTGGACCATGATGCAGGTCCCTATCTGTGAACCATGATGCAGGTTCCTAGCTGTGGATCATGTTGCAGGTCCCTAGCTGTGGATCATGATGCAGGTCCCTAGCTGTGGATCATGTTGCAGGTCCCTAGCTGTGGACCATGATGCAGGTCCCTAGCTGTGGACCATGATGCAGGTCCCTGGCTGTGGGCCTCCTGAGCCTTTTTCTGCAGGTAAATGAGCCCATGTTCAGGGTAGACTGAAGGCAATGTTTCAAACCAGGCCTGGCTATTAAGATGGTCAGGCCCTTCATCAGGACTCCCCAGCTACAAGTTTGCTTCAGAACTGGGCATTGCCCTGGCAACCAGAATAAAATTACAATCAACAGGTAATAGGAATCCCTAACCAGATCCAAGAGTGATTGCACAGTGTGTTGGAGTCCGATAGAGTGCTGTGAAGGAGCAGGATTTGTTAGGAGGAGGGAATACAGCCTCTGTGACTCTACAGAGTGTCAGTGAATATTCTCTGCCATTCACAGGCAAAGTTCAGGAAGAGTGCAGAAGAAGATTTTGTCATTGTGGCCTACATGGTGAAGAACCCTGAAAATCTCAGGGTAGAATCTCAATGACATGGTTTCCAGGCACATTTTAGAACATAGAACATAGAACATTACAGCGCAGTACAGGCCCTTCGGCCCTCGATGTTGCGCCGACCTGTGAAACCAATCTGAAGCCCATCTAACCTAAACTATTCCATTATCACCCACATGTTTATCCAATAACCATTTAAATACCCTTAAAGTTGGCGAGTCCACTACTTTTGCAGGAAGGGCATTCCATGCCCTTACTACTCTCTGAGTAAAAAACCTACCTCTGACGTCTGTCCTATATCTATCACCCCTCAATTTAAAGCTATTTTCACTTTAAGGTATAGACCCCATACCCAAACGATGACCCCAAATCCAAACTCTGTCCTGTACCAAGCCTGACCGACTGAAACATCCGCACCAATCAACAATGATCTCACTGCAAAAGTCCCACCTGCCAGAATTTGGCCCGTACACTGGAGGCTATGGCAATGCATGTGAATATCTAAATACAGCTTTAGTGTTTGAGAAATTCTGACTCAAAAACCCTTCCAGACAGTGAATTCTCAACACCCTCCACCCTCTGAGTGATGCCTGTTAGCATCTGAACCAGCCCCAAGACTGAACAGCAATCCATTGTAGACAATTTTATAATGCATTTTTATGATTACCAACTTGGCGAAACCATGAAGGAAATGAGCAGGATTTAGTAACCAGCACATTCTGTATGATATCCATCTTAGAACAGTTTAGCAATGTTCCAGTCTAATGGTAGACACAGCTGCAGCCTGAGACCTCTCTGTTAGGCTGGAGTTGTTCGCTCATGTTAGCTAGGATCCCATCGTTGACTGTTAATAGAGTATAAATCCATGGGAGTGATTGGCAAAGTCATTGGGAGTGCAGGAGGCAGTAAATGAAGCAGATGATGATCAGCTGGCCAAAATGAGATCTGGAACAGATGAGGGCAAGGTAGGAGTGAAAGCATTCATGTCCTATTGAGGCATGAGTGGAAAGGAATGAAATACCCAGGAGGACCCAGAATTATGCCTGGAGGTGTGACGCAGAAGCTACAGGAGAAGTAAGGAATTGCTGGGAAACAGGAAATAACATCTTATTATTGCAGACACGTAGATGTTTATTGCACTGGCCATTCACCCCATTGAGTCTGCACCAGTGAACAATGATCTCACTGCACAAATCCCATCTTCCAGCATTTGATCAATACCCTGGAGATTATGACTATACAAGTTACTATCTAAATGCTGCTTAAAAGTTATGAGACTTTATGACTCAATAACCCTTGTAGGCAGTGAATTCTATATAGAACCTCTGAGTGAAAACATTCTCCTCCTATATCTTCATGGCCATCCACCTCTGACGTTAAATTTATGCCCCAGATATTGATCCATGTACGAATGGAAAAATTGCCTTCCTACCCACTCTATCTGTGCCCCTGAATCTTATACTCATTCATAAGGTCTGCTCTTAGTCTTCACTGTTCCAAGGAAAACAACCCCAACCAATCCAATTTTTTATCATCTCTCAGACATTCCAGCCCTGATAAATCTACTCCAGTTGTGTCCTAATTATGCTTTATTCGTTTTCAGCAAAACTTTCATGCTGTTGATTTCTATGCAGGATTAATAAAGGCAAGTATCCAATATGCCTCCCTAACCACCTTATCTACATGCCCACTACTTTTAGGAATCTTTGGGTGTGCACACCATTGGCTCTTCAATCTTCAGTACTCTCCAACATACCACCGTTCACAGTGTATACCCTTTACCTTGTTAGCTCTTCCAAAGTTATTTACCTCAATATTTTCCAAGTTGAATTCCATTTGCCACTACTCTGCCCACCTGACCAGTCAACTCATATCCTCCAGCAGTTTGCAGCTATTCACCTCACTATTTACCATCCTACCATGGAGTGTAGTGATACTGTAACTGGGCTGATGACCCAGAGACACAGGTAATGTTCCGCAAACCTGCATTTGAATTCCACCATGGCAGATCATGAAATTTGAATTCAATAAACATCTGGAATTAAGAGTCTAATTTGACCTTGATACTACTGTTTATTGCTAAAACAAAACATTTTATTTTACTAAGAGTTAGTAGGAACTGCAGATGCTGGAGAATCTGAGATAACAAGGTGTAGAGCTGGATGAACACAACAGGCCAAGCAGCATCAGAGGAGCAGGAAGGCTGATATTTCGGGTCTGGACTCCTCTTCAGAAATGCAATTGGGAGAGCTGTCTCACAGACTAGTCAAGTCACATTTACAGAATCATGCCTTATAGACAATATTTAATACAACACCATCGCCATCCCTGGATATATTTGTCCCACAAGCAGGACAGACCCAGCAAAGGTAGAGTTGGGAGGGAGTTACCCTGGGAGTCCTCAACATTGATCTCAGACCCCACTAAGTCTCATGGCTTCAGATTAAACATGGACAAGGAAACCTCCTGCTGGTTACCATGTACCTTCCTCCCTCAGCTGATGAATCAGTACTCCTCCATGTTGAACAACACCTGGAGGTAGCACTGAGGATGGCGAGGGCACAAGATGTGCTCTGGGTGGGTGATGTGAATGTCTTACCTTGTTCTCTGCCTTGCTGTTGCCAGCCCTGACTTGCTCCTCTTCCAAACTGCACCAGCCTCAGATTTAGCTGTATTCTCACAGTCTCTTTGGGTTCCCACCACACCACCAACAGAGGGAGATCTACCAGGATGGTGCCTGGGCTGGAGAGTTTGTTACGGAGAGATTGGATAGACTGGGGTTGTTTTCCTTAGAGCAGAGGAGACTAAGAGAGAACATGATTAAGATATATAAGGTTATGAGAAACATAGATAGGATACACAGGAAGGATCTAATCCCCTTGTGGAGGGATCAATGAGCGGGGGCATAGATTTAAGGGAAGG